CGACCTTGTGGCTGCCTATAAGTTCATCACAGGGGCACAGAAGGGAATTGGTGAGGTTTTATTCACCAAGGCGCCCCCGGGGGTTACAAGAAATAATGGCCACAAGCTAGCAGAGAGCAGATTTAGATTGGACATTAGGAAGAACTTCTTCACAGCTAGAGTGGCCAAGGTCTGGAACGGGGGGAGGTGGTGCTCTCCCCTACCCTGGGGGTCTTCAAGAGGAGGTTAGATAAGCATCTAGCTGGGGTCATCTAGACCCAGCTCTTTCCTTTCTATGCAAGGGGTCGGACTCGATGATCTATTGAGGTCCCTTCCGACCCTAATATCTACATCTAGTCGACTGTAATAAGCATGGAATTAAGGCTTTTGAGGAAAGAAGAGTCCAACATGCAGAGGAAAGAAGAAGCTTTGGGAAGAACCCCACACTATGTTCAGGATTGTTTGACACAACTTCACATGATAGTACAGAAGGGACTTTCACTCCACAATTGGGCTCTAGCAGATATTCAGTGAGATGGTGCCTCACTCTGCAGAACTCTATTATCTCACAAGGAAGACAGATGCCTACTGTTACTACTACTACTACTGCTACTACTAATACTACTACCTCTCCCAGGACTGTCCCCTTCCCCTGTCCCCATTCCTTTCTGCTCTCTTTCCTCTTCCCCTTCCCTTCTACCTTTATATTCAAATCACTATCTCCATGTTATACACTGGTCTGTACACCTCTTTTCATAGCATCTGATAAAATGAGCTCCTGCTCACAAAAACTTGCAAGTGTGTGTGTGTGTAACAGTATATATAATATAATATAATAGTGTGTGTATGTATGTGTATATATATGTGTGCATATGTATGTATGTGTGTGTTTGTGTATTTTATCTATAAAGCTGCTTGTACAGACCACGGGGGTTTAGTTCTCCCTAAATTGAAGTGGTGGGTTTTCAATTTACAGCAAAGTAAACCCCCATGGTGTGTACACAAGGGTGAGGCCTGATCGTTATCTCTGTCTCTGGCAGCAGGGGGGTGGGGAGAGGGCAAGCTGCTGGCAGGCCAAGTGGTCCAAGAGCTGCGGGGGGTGGGGAGGACAGTGCTACCCTCCACAGTGGTGGTGGTGCCCCCCAGGTGGCACCCTCCCACAGGCACCCAGCCCAGGTGGTCCTGGGGGTCACCACAGCCCCGGAGGGAAGCACTGCCCCGCCATCACACACACACAGCCACGGAGGGAAGCAGGGCAGGAAAAAAACTTGAAAGATTGCCTGGGATTATCTGGTTTGAGAATGATTTTAAAAATTTGAAAGATTGCTTGGGATTATCTGAGTGGAGAATGTCCCAGGGCATCCCTATATGACTGCATGGATGATTCTCATTATCCTATAGTTTTAAAAGTTCTAAATTATAGACTTCCACGGTCCCTTCAGAAAATGTTTTTGTACATTATGTGCTTGATACCATATGTAATCCTAGCCCCATTGAAGTTGCTAGGAGATTTGCCTTTTATATTCTTACTCAAATGGGGTAATTTTTGTTCCTTTCTCGATTTGCTTATGTTAGTACTTGTCTCCATAAGATACTTTCACAATTATAATTTAATGTGTGTTTTTGAGACATCAGCTGTTGCTTGATTTGATTAGATCCTATCACTATTTACTAAACATTTGTAAAAATCTGTAGGATTATTTAGATGATGATATAATACAACTAAATAAAATAAAAGCACTCCACAGAACCCCAGTCAGTTTGAAGCAGACAGCCAGATAAGCAAAGATAAGAGAGAGCGCATTGTTTTATTTTTAATATGGGCACGGGAAAGAAAGATACTTGTCCCTTTCTTTTAGTTTTCACTTTTAATTTACTATCTAAAATGGGCAGAGGCATGCTCTGCTGTTTATGCTGGCCATACATGGTAATGTGTACTGCCTCTCTTAAGTAATTGGTTCCTTTTGATTGGTTTCTACCAGCTTACACCAATTCATGCAGTGAGTCAGACAACTGGTGGACTCAGCTCAAGAACAACAGACAAACAGGAAGGCCAAAGCCTCTGAAGTGATATGTGAGCATATGTGACTTCATACTTTTCTTTTGGTGACTATTTGCAAAAAGAAAACCTTCAGAGAAGAGAATGCATGTTTCCCATTCCTTGTATTAGATTAACTTTGAGGTTCCAGCTCTGTATCTTTTTAATTGTTAAAATGGTTCTGTGGGGAAAGAGTATGTATGAGAATGTGTGTGATCTGCTTGAAAAGGGAGAGAGAGACTCTGAAGAGTTGCATCTCTCACTTCTCCTCCTCTTTTTTTTCCGTGAGGTTTAAAAATGATTAAGTAGTTAACCTTTATCTACACTGCAAAATTGGATATACAATTGTACGGGTGACAGGAAAGGGGAAAGCTGTTCTGAGCAGAGGGTCAGCATGTCTGATACTAACTACTAGGGAAATATCCTAATACATTTTATGTTTTTCCTCTTTGTTGGAAAATATCAGCCAAGAGGAGGTGAGAGGCCTTTTGAAGATGGCTTCTTATAATGTCCATGGCTCTTATTATTCAGAAGTATCTATGTAGCTGTAATGGAATTATTTTTGAATGATTGAGGTTGGCAGTGCTAAAAACTTGTATGTGGGAGCAGGTCAAATATTCCCCTTCTACTCTTTTATCAGTGGAAAATGCCCTTTTGCCCAATATGAAAATCTTCTACAAAAAGTTGTGCTGAATAACATTTTAAACTTTGACAATGAATTTCAAACCACTATGAAAAAAATAGTAAATGTCACAAGTAAATCCTTTAGGAGTGTTCTAGGAAAGACTGAAGTGACCTGAATGTGAAGACATAATGAGCCCTGATGCAACAATTGAAAATTAATAACAAGTAATGAGCCCTGAGTTGCAACAGTTTACCAAATATTGTGGTGTATGACTACACGCCTTGTCTGAGCTTGAGGCTCTGTATTCAGGAAACAAATGCTTCTATTTTTTTCATCACTGTAGTGTTATCTGCCAGTCCAATCTGCCAATCTGCTATCTGTAAAAAAGAATAAAAACAAAAAATACTTCTCAGTTATAGCCAGGCCTTAGCCTTATTGTGAAAGCTCATTTTTGAGATTCTATTTAAGGGAAAGGAAAATGTAAGCAGGCCATTTGGGAGTTTCATTTCAGTATGGGAAATTCCAGGTAAAGGATGAAGTATTGCATTGCATACTGACTAATGCAATACTTTTTCACCCAGAATTTTACTTTTAGGGATAGCCACACAAGAGGCCCATTTCCAAGATTACCCTCCCCCAGTGCTTGTATGGGTTTTTCATTCAAAGTACCTATAATGATCCCAGCATTCTTGGAGTCCAGCAAAGGGTGTCGTTCTTGATAATACAGCCATTCTGGTTCAGTGAGTTTTTTGAAGAGGAACACTTGGATTTCTAAGTGAGTCTCTTTTTATGGAGTTTTGGTGTTTATGTACCCTCTTTTTTGAGTGTATCATTTACACTCAAAGCAGCTTCTCTGCCATCTGTCAACCCAAGAGAAAACACATTGTATAGTGTAGCCTTAGTCGACAAAAGCATGGATTCCTGTGAATATGATGGGCCCATTCTAAAAAAAAAAAAAAGGACACTGCCTTAGAGCAGGGGCAACACGTAAGGGGTGCACGCAGATGCATGTGCACCCCCAACGCGTGACGATGCACCCCCTGTAAAAAGGCACCACCGACACTGTCAGTGCTGTCTGTGGGTGGTCCCTGATCGCCCCTGGCTGCCGCTGATGCTGCTGGTGGTGCCTGCCGGTGGTTGCCGACCCCTAGTCAGCACTCACCCCCCTCCGCCCCTGCTGCCGACCCTGCCGGCATTGTCCGTGGGAGGTCCCTGCTCCCTGCCACCAGGCTCCCACCGGCGCAGCCATACCCCCCCGCCTCCAGGGGCATGTACCGTTCATGCCTCAGAGCAAAAGAAAAGAATGTGTTGCAGTCATTTTTACTACTTTGGTATTTAGGAGTGTTTGAGTAGGAGTCATGCTGCTCTTCACCCTGACAATCTGAGGCCATGTGCTCTAGACAAACTGTACAAACATAGGTATAACTTTCCCAAAGCGTATGCTGTACTTCATAGGCCTCAGCTCGAGTTAGCTGTTTTTCATGTGGTTGCTCATTTCTGTCTGATTCCAAGGAAGCAGAAAGAGATCTGGATTCTGCTCTTGCTATAAAATGAAGTAACAGCATTTGTATAAAGCAGGCTTACACAAGATGTTCATAGTGTTCATAATTACAGAGCTATTTCTTGCTTCACACAGGCCCAGGATGTGGGTATCAACAACATTGGTTTGGCTCCAAGGAATTTCATTTTCTGAAGAATTTTGAAAATCAACCCCTATGAATTCAGAAGAAATCTTAAAAAGGAACAGGGTGGATCCAGAATGTTTTATGAATGTTGTAAGTGATGTAATTTTCTCCTTCTATTTTTTAAAGGATGTTCCCAATTAGTAATACTTCTATATTTTTTTAGAGTGATCAGCGCTGGATGGCTTAAGGAAGATATCTTAAAAAATAAAAGTCCTTCATGCAGCATTTTCACTCTGTGTTTTTAAACAGACCCTCCAAACTAACTTCACTGGAGTTTAGCTCACAAATACCAACTACAGTTGTGCAGCTAGTAGTTATGCCTTGTATAAAATACACAGTGAAAAAATACTATTTTAGTTCTAGTCAAGTAACATGAAACCACAAAATCTGGGACTGGGATAGCATTCCCTCCACAGGAATCCTTGCCTAACAACCTAGACTATGTGAAAAATTGATTTATGTAAACCATGCCTTCATTTGACTTCCTTCAGACTGATATTATCAGGTATCATAGATACCCCGGTGAGGAGCATGAAGTTGTGACTGAAAATGGCTATATCCTTAGTATTAACAGGATTCCTGGTGGTATCCTGGAACAGTGGTAAGATTTTTTTAACTGAGGGAAGAAAGCTTTGACGGGGGCTTACTTTGGGGCTTACATAGCTGCATTTATCACATATTTCCATTCATGTCTCAATTTTGGTTCTATTTCAGATCCTAAAGACAGGTAAAGAGTGGCTTGGTTATATACTTCCTTGGAACCATTTTTTTTTTTTGGTATTTATAACTCTTGCTTTGATGTAAGCTACATGATTTGCCATAGTTTGAAGTACTGTCTTCTTAAAAATGTTGCAAAGCATGAATTACTTTTAATTTACATGCAAGAGGCTAGGATTTCTTAGGGTGATATCTTTTGTTGGACCCAGTTTGTAGCTGACTTGGCCTGACAAAGAATATCTTGAGTTTGAAAGGTTGTCTAACTCTTATTCCATCTCCACACTTGGTCCAGTAAACTATATCACCCTAAGAAATCCTTGTTACTTGCACAATTTACTGGACCATCATAGCTACAATGTCCCTCTTACACTTCTACTACATTTATATGTCCCTTGACACTTTTACTTTTCTGTATCATCACGCATATGAAACCTGTGGGTAAAAGCTCTCACAGTTGTGGCATTACAACATCTATATCCTGGGACAGAATGGGCAGAAAGGGCATTTTAATTAAGGTGAGTGGGTGGTGGGTGAAGAAGTAGATTGTCTGCCATTCTATCCAAAGATGCAAGTCTGGGCTGGTTTTTAGTTTTATAAAAGATGTGCACCTGTATTCAAGGACACATGCACTGGAAAGGAAGATCAACCCATTGCCACTACTTCCTATAGTCTGAAATCATCACTGCCCCTTTGCTGTGTGGGAGTAGAAGTTCTGGAGCTGGACCAGATGACTTCTGGAGGTCCCCTGCAGCTCTACTTTTATATCATTCTCTGATTCTATACATTCTAGGTGTAACTTGCTTTATTTACATTTTTACATTAGTCCTGAAAGTAGATATTTTTTCCACTTGCATAGTAATTCCTTCTTCTGGGAATTTCAGCTTACAATAACACTTAAAGGAAGCAATTCTTCTTCTAGAAGGAACTGTAAATCAGATTTCAGGGCAGAAATTGTTTTCATGGCTCCTTCTCCTCCAAGGCTGCTGCTGCTCAAACCATGTGCATTCTAAAAAAGAGCAGGAGCCCATGTCTTCCCAGGAGTCAATATTTTTGCATGCTAAGAAAAAGAACTTTGGAGACTACTAAAAGAGCACTAGTACCTGACTTGCACCATGGTAGTATGTTATTCAATCTCTAATCAAAAGAGTGAACAAAGAGAAGGTTTAGTTTCACATTCAGTTATGGTTGTAGAAGTGCACACTCTTTTCTCTTAAAATCTTAAGAACATTGAAGTATGAAATGATGGAAATATTTTTGCATTCTTCCCTCATCCATATTACCCACACTGCTACTGGGAACCTGCATCAAGGCTAGGGACAGACGTTAGACATAAACTGGTTTAAGTGATCAGAAACTGGTTTAAATCTGTAACAGAACAGTGCACATAAACCAGTTTGAGAACGGCCAAAACTGGTTTGAGATATACCTGGTTGAACAGGGGTGACTGGTGCAACCTTAGTCGGGGGGTGGGGGCACATGCCACTGCTACAACCAGTCCTGCCAACCAGAGGGCCCCCCTGTGGCCAATCTCACTGCCTGGGGGGAAGGGGGGGCACAGGGACCCCCTATGCATCGCCACTGTGGTTGAATGTAGTATCAGACTTAACTGATTTGGCTCAAACCGGTTTATGCAATGTCTATCCCGGACCCCTTGCTGGTTTAAATTAAATCAGACTCCACCAGCATCCCATAATGCTCTCTGGACTGGGCAGGGTTCTCTGCTCCGCAGCAGGGCTGCCCCACCTCCCCCTCTGCTCCCTGACTGCAGCTTGGTAGTCTCTGCAGGCATCTGCCTGGCTTCTGCTCCCTACCACCACTCTCTGCTAAGCAGGCATTCCCCCGTCTCTCACAGACACCTCTTAGCATTAGCTAGTCAACCACATGCTGGCTGCCTCTGAGCTCTGACACACAGGACAAAGGCAAAATCAACAGGTAGTTGATTGTAGGGAGTGGTAATGTCCCTCTGTTCTTAATGGGGTGATAGACACTGAGTTAGAGGTGATAAACATTCTCTGCCTGGATGTTCAGGAGTGGGGGGGACCCCTCCGTAATCAGTGTGTCCTGCAAGGGCATGGCCATGCACTCCTCAGCTCAGCTCTGTGCAAAGGAAGTGCCTGCATTTCTGGGATGTCTGTCTGATTACAAAACTGATTCAGCCTAGCCAGGTTAGACTAACCTGCAAGGATTGAATGAATTCAGGCTCAGGCTTTTTTGAATATCTGTCCCAAGCCAAAAACTCTTTCACAGTCACCTTCCATGCCCTATATACACACACCCCCTATATTCATGCTTGTACTCTGTTATATACTTTTAAACAAGTGGTTGCCAACCTATTTTTACTCAAAGCACTCCTCTGTAACTTTTGTGAATTGAGCATAATCACATTTAAAAATAGATTGTTTTATTAACATACTTCCCTCCTTGCACAGGGGCTGGGCAATGGGGCTAAAGGAAGGAGCAGCCTAGCAGGGTTGAGCATGCTCTTAACCCACTGCAGAGGGCTTGGACAGTTAGGAGTATGGGAAACACCAGGAAGGGATGAGCCTGATCCCGTGCTTCTCTCCTCACTGACTGTCTCCTCACACCTCATTTATATTGCCACATCCTTCAGGGTCTCATGATACCCCAGGGTGTTGCACCCCACTGCGGAGAGTTACTGTTTTAAAAAGAATCTGCACAAAATTGACATAATAATTAAATCATTCTTAATTGCTCTATTTGTATTATAACAAAGCCTGAAAAATCACCATAAGCTTTTATACTGAATCAACACATATTTGACCTTGCCACTAAATATTTCTTAAATATTCTATAGCCAAATGCTACCAATCTGTATCTGATATTTCAGGAGTTAGCATGCGAGGGCAATAATGCAGAAACAGAAGAGATGTTAGAGTGGCTTAGAGTGGCATATGTTACACATGGGTGCAAAGATAAAAAGAATCCAGTAAAATGTTACTACCAGCCTGTTCCTTATAGTAACATCTTACAATTCTTTCTATCTTAATTCAGTTGTCATAAAACCACTGTGAAAAGTCCAATTTTTACATCATTCCATACTGTAACCCAAAGCTAACTATGACACTGTAGTAATTCACCTCCTCCCGTGTTAATAAATGATAAAAGCATCTTCCTTTCCAGGAAAAAGACCTGTCGTGTTTTTGCAGCACAGAGCCCTAGGAGATGCAACCCACTAGATTTCTACCTTGTTTGATAATAGGCTGGGCTTCATCCTAGAAGATGCTGGCTATGATGTTTGGTTAGGAAACAGCAGAGGGAATACCTGGTCTTCAATGCACAAGGCTCTTAAGCCCAGCCAGGAAGAATTCTGGAGGTCCAGGTACACTGAATGACTATGCAAGTTTGAAAATGACTTTTTTTTTCAGGATTAACAATAGAAACACCAACAGCAATAATGCGATGAGGGAGTGTGACAGGGAACCCCAGCCCTGCTATCAGAAGACAGATCAACCCCTTTAAGACAAGACCTTTCTGGACACAGTGTGCTGGTAAGGTGGGGGTTAAAATCTGAGCCTGGCCAGCTAGTCAGGTGACCAGAAGGGGGCAGGCAAGAACTATAAAAACCCTGGGCTGGGCAGCGGTAGGGGCTAGCAGTTGAAGAGGAAGGAATGTGTCCTAGAGCTCCATGGAGAGGCTTGGTGAGTGGTCCAAAGGCTGGAGGAAGGAAACTATGGAGGACCCCTGAGAAGTGGCAGCAACCCTAGAAGAAGGACTATAGCCAATGGTGGGGAGCAGAAGCATGAACCCCTGTGTGAATGTAAGCTGGTTTGCTGCCTTATTTAATCATGTTTTGCTTGGTGGCAGTTATTACCCATGGAAAGGGCTGTTCATTTTTTTTTTCTTATTGACTAGCACCAGTCATTTGGGTGAGGCTGTTGGGGAAGGAGGAGGTCTCACTGGAGCCCCACTACAGTGTGGGAACTCTGGTGCCTGTGTAGGTGCAGTATTCAGGGTGCACAGACCCAGTGCCAGAGAGGGTAAGCCAAAAAGGCCAGGGAGGCCTGGTGTGCTACTGTGGGTTGTTTTTCATTTTTTTTTTTTTTTTTGGGGGGGGGGTTGGATTGGGATGGTGGAGGTCTGGGGCCATTGCCCAGCTTTGAACTTGCAACCCCTTGGATGTGGGGCCAGTGGATGGGCCTCTGGCCAGGGAGGCTGTGCTCCAGATTGGAGTAAAAAGGAGGGCCATGAACCCCAAGACTAAAGAGCTAGAGCCTTAGTGTCAAACCCTATCTGGTGGGTTTAGATGGGGGAGGCCTAGCTAGAGAAGGGCTGGGGTCAAGGCCAGTGGTGGTGGAGGACCCAAACATACAAAAACAATAGGCAGTCTCCCACTTACAAAAACATTGGTATAAATTCCCCATCAGAATGTGGCAGATGAGTAGAGAGCAGGACACAAGAAACCTTAAAGGGGACTCTAAGGGCACCCCATGTAGGGTGCAGATAATGGAAGATGGTGCTGGGGAGGGTGACCTCTTACAGGGAG